TCATACAGTATAGCATGAAAAAATAAAATATTAAGTCTCAAGAGTTAGAAAACAAGTTTATAAACAAAATAATTTGCATTAACTATAATTGAAAAACTAACAGATGAAACAATAGATCAGTTGCTGAAGCAAACATGTAGTCTACTTGATATCTTTTAGAACTGTGGAATGTGATATGTGCTAAGAACAGAAAGCTCACCAGTCTTATCTGGAAAATATATACTGTATCTGATATTAGAAAGAATAGCTGGTGAGAAAGATATTACAAGTATGTTATTATCCTTATTCACGGTACAAATTATTCTTTTTTGGGGGGGAGGAGGAGGGGGACACATTTTAATCTCTTTAGTAATTGTGTCAAAAGGAAGCCTAGTATTTTTAGTCATGTAAAAACAAACTTGAGTTTAATGGTGCATGGTTAATGTTCTCATAACTATTACTTCCTCTATGTGGTCCCTTATGAATAGTATAACATCAGTATATTATATATTTCTAAAATGTTTTTCTTCTTATCCTGGCAAGTGTTTACTAAGTGAGTTACAACAATAATTGATGCTAAAATTCAATTGAATAATTTTCTCAAAAATATGTATTAGTTATCTCATGCTGACTTTGCTTATAACAGAGATGATTCTCTCTGTAAATTGTGTTTTTAATGGGGATTTGAGTTTGTGTTTATGTACAATGTGTTGCTGCATAATTTAAACGGAACCTACCACCATTTACCTCAGCCTCCTCTCGCCCCCCCCCCCCCATGATTTTCTAACACTTCTGTAACATCCATCTCCAGTCCGCTGTCAATCCTCTTACTACATAATACCAAGTGAAGATAACGGACACCATGTAACACTTAAGTTCCTTTACCATACATAAGCACATTTATGATTGTATGATACATTTTATTTGATTTAGACTCATGCCACAAGCCCAACTAATCTAATGCTAAATACCTTTAAAACAAATGCCATGAAAAACTTGTCTATTATATTTCTATGCATATCCTGCTAACAAACAAACCTGCATGTAGTTGCTACAACTCTTCAATCCATAACTAATTGTACATGTACAACAGCAAAATATAACAAGAACTGCACTTATTCAAATGAGCAGAAAAGGGGTGTACCTGGAGTATTTGGCACCCGGGGCAGATCCTTTATTTAGCAACCACAATTTTTTTTTATGTATTTAGCACTGAGCAGTGTTTGTATATTTTTGATGTAAGCATGTTTTTGTATGGAGTATGTGTGAGTTAATGTACGGGTGTGTTTGCACATATTGGCATTTGAATGCAGGCGTGCATTTTTCTGTAGTTGCTTTTTGAATATGGTGGTGTATTTATATATAGTGTTGACATTTGGATGCAGGGTTGTATTTGTGTGTAGTTTAGGCGAAATGCTGAGATGTATGCACATACACACACATACACACACTGGCACACATACAGATACACAGACACATAGGTACACATGCAATTACATAGAAACACAGTCATACACAGACACAGACAAATACTGACCACATACCGACCGCCCCCGCCGCCCCCCCCTCCCCTTAGTAGGCCACTGCTACCAGCTCACTGACTTGCACAAACAAGAAACAGTAGAATTCAAGTAGATGAAAGAAGATCCAGGCACTCCAGGGCTCCAAATTGCATATTTATTTGGAACAAAATTAATCCAGCAATGTTTTGACTCAAAATGGTCTTTGTCAAGAACCCCACTCCACTAAAGATTCCCCTTTGGAGATGACCACAGGACAGCATTGTAACGGCACCCCGAGGCATAAAAGGATTAAACTGCCGTTTAGAGATCTTCCCCTTCTAGAGACACAGGCACAGCTACTGCAGAACACCAATCCGCCGAACAGGAAACCATACGAATGCTGTAAACAGCCGAATAGGAAAAACATTTTCAGAATCAGCATACTCCAAATACAAACATATGTCAAATTCATACAAATTGGTCCAGTGGTTCAAAAGATAGATTGTAGTCCTTTGTGACCAAAGGAAGCATGGCTTTTCTGACCAAAACCAGCTCCACAGAGTCTACTATCCTGGAGATAATTGGGAAGTAATCCAATTATCTCCAAGGACAGAGACAAAACTCCATTAAACACATGGCAGCAAAAGACAATAAAACACATAAAAACATATAACTGTGCAGCCATTGCACAAAACAGGTACATTTAACATATCCCCAGATAGCTCAGATCTGAGCGCACATTATTACTGAATGGCGCTCAGAGCACACACATACAGTTCAATTGCCATGGAGCCAAAGTCTTTCCCATAGTCTTTCATTATACGAATGGGCTCCATGGCATAGCTATCTGGGGTATCACCGCTCAAATAGGGCAAGCACCAAATGACCCGGCTTTCATGTCTTTGCAGGGAAAAATCAAGCCTTTTAACATGGGGCCATAATCCAAAGGCAACAGGTGAGCAACCAGGCTTCTCCAATGCAATGTGGCGAGATTGGTCTCGTCACATCTCTCCACTTTTCCAAACAGACTAACAGGGTATCTGACCTCCTGCCGGTCAGTGCTCTTGTTAGTCCAGCAGCCCACCCACAACACACAAATAGTAATACAGCCCACCCACAATAAATGGTTACTACACCTGGGTAGAGGAGAACTTTGTCCATGTCCAGGTGCCTCACCACGGCTGTGTAGGTGACTGGTAAGCTGACTTTGTGGGTTGCTGAGTGGGCAGAGACCAGCGGTACTCTGCCCTGGTGCCAGTGCTACCACGGGAATAGCCTGGTTGGAGCCTGGTTGTTGGAGGGGAGACCAACTCTGCTCTGCTGCTGGAGGGGGAGACCGATTCTCTCCCCTTTGGATACACAGCCCTGTCGCTGAGGGGCAGGACCGACCGTCCCTACCCCCTGTGCTGTAAGTGCAGAGACCACGGTCCAATCTGCACGGTTGTGGGGCTTACTGTCTCCCCCTTGTACGTTAAGCTTCCACTGGGGAGAGGGGGTAACAAGATCCTCTCCCATATATACTTCCAGCCGCGGGGGAGGGAGACCGACTGTCTCTGCTCCCAATACAGAGTCCTGCTGCTGGGGAAAAGAGACTGGGCTCTCTATTCCCTGTTGGACACTCTGCCACTGGGGAATGGAGACTGGGCTCCCAATTCCCAATAACTCATACTGCCGCTGGGGAATGGAGACTGGGCTCCCAATTCCCTGCAATTCATTCTGCTGCTGGGGGACAGGAGCAACTATCTCTGTCCCCTGTAACTCAGCCTGCTGCTGGGGAATGGAGACTGGGCTCCCAATTCCCTGCAATTCACACTGCTGCTGGGGATCTGAGCCAACCGCCCAGCATCCCTGTAGCTCACCCAGCCGCTGGGGAGGGAGGACACTGCTCTCCTCTCCCTGCAAGGTACACTGCCGCTGGGGAGGGGAGACGATGCTCTCCACTCCCTGCACTTCACACTGCTGCTGGGGAAAGGAGACACGGCTCTCTATTCCCTGCAAATCAATCTACCGCTGGGGATCTGGGCTGACCACCCAACATCCCTGTAGGGCCAGTGGAGAGACTTTGGTCCCATCTCAACCTGCCAAAGGACCAAAGGAAGCATGGCTTTTCTGCCCAAAACCAGTTCCACAAAGTCTTCTATCATGGAGATAATTGGGAAGTAATCCTATTATCTCCAAGGACAGAGGCAAAACTCAATTGAACACATGGCAGCAAAAGACAATAAAATACATAAAACTATATAACTGTGCAGCCATTGCATAAAACAGGTACATTCAACATATCCCCAGATAGCTCAGATCTGAGCGCACATTATTACTGAATGGCGTTCAAATCACACACATACAGTTCAATTGCCATGGAGCCAAAGTCTTTCCCATAGTCTTTCATTATATGAATGGGCTCCATGGCATAGTTATCTGGGGTATCACCACTCAAACAGGGCAAGCACAGAATGACCCGGCTTTCGTGTCTTTGCAGGGGAAAATCAAGCTTTTCAACATGGGGCCATAGTCTAAAGGCAAAAGGCTGGCAAGTAGTCCTCTCCAGGCACAAGTGGCGAGGTTAATTTCGCCACAACCAGTAATAAAAAAAAAAATAAATACAACAAATACTTATGACAATCATTGATCATGGAAATGTAGAATGCACCTGTCATGGTTGATTATATATTTCCTACCTGTTCTATGTTAAATTTTGTATATATTGTGTATTAATATTGTTTTTATGTTTTATTGTACCCTGTTGTATCAATGTAATGTTTTGTGGACCCAGGACATACTTGAGACATACAGGACATAAATGAGAGAAATCTGAATGTATCTGAAAATCTGAATGTATCTTTCCTGGTAAAATATTTAATAAATAAATAAATAAATAATATGTCCTACCTGTCCTAACTGTTAAAATATCTCAAATGAACTGTCCCACTTGTAATTACATTCCTGAATGAAAACTATCAAATAATAAAAATTAAAAAAACCAGCAGGCAAAGCAAAGCATTTAGAGACCAGTCATAAGCTATTGTTCCGATGGTACTTAGCCAACTGAGATGCATTTACGCATTTACCCAAATACATGTCCCATGTGCTGGCAATGCACAGCAGAGCTGAGTAACTTGTTACACATTTATTTTTTTGGAGCTGTGCCAAGATCTCAAAGGAATCAACTAGAAACAATTTGGTGAGATCCACATGTACCTGGCTAATAAACATATTGCTGACCATGGAACTAGGAACTTCGAAGAAGTGTTCCATAGACTTGAACAGTCCTTGTCCAGGTTCTTTCAAGTGTACAAAGTTTGTGATAGATTTCCGAATAGTTCTACCAATCAGAGATCCATACCCCATAGGTCAACCCAGCCCCAATAGCGTCAACAAATTCTGCATCGCTTTTCAGTAGGTGGACTAACAAACATGTTATTGTAACTAGATAAGTTGGACACAGAGGGACAGAGGGGTTAAGCACCCTGCTCAATGAGCTTGCATGCTAGAGCAGAAGTGCCCAAAAGGTAGATCCCCAGATGTTGTAGAACTACAGCTTCCATGATGCTTTCTCATTCTAAAGGCATGGAAAGCATCATGGGAGTTGTAGTTCTACAACATCTGGAGATCTACCTCTTGGGCACCCCGGTGCTAGATGGAGTGAGTTAAAGTGACACAAAATGTAAAGATATTAGTAGAGTAATGACCATTACAGGAGAGGGATCATTTGGGAGCTATTAACAGTTTCATTGATATGCTTTTATGAAGAAGTGAGTTTTTTCTGTTTTCTTTTAAGGCGTTACGACTGTGTGAGCATCTAACTAAGGAGGGAAGGGGCTACATATATCTTCAAAATATATATATATATATATTCGCAAAAGACCTGCACTCTACAATCTATTGTTCACAATGCCTGGTGCTAGACTGCAAGTTAAACAGAATAACAAAGAGATAGCAATTTGGAGACTTATTCAAAATGTAAAATTAAACATGTTTGTTTCAGCTTTTTCAAAGCGGAATAAAGTTGTATTTCACTTTTTCAACATAGAAACTTAGAAACATAGAACGTGATGGCAGATAAGAACCATTCGGCCCAACTAGTCTGCCCAATTTTCTAAATACTTTCATTAGTCTTATCTTACAGTTAGGATAGCCTTATGCCTATCCCACACATGCTTAAAATCCATTACTGTGTTAACCTCTACCACTTCAGCTGGAAGGCTATTCCATGCATCCACTACCCTCTCAGTAAAGTAATACTTCCTGATATTATTTTTAAACCTTTGCCCCTCTAATTTAAGACTATGTCCTCTTGTCTTCAAGAATTCTTGAGAGTGCTATTTTTCCTATTATATATATATATATATATATATATACGTACATATATATTTCTTTATTTTCCCAATATTACTTGCACTCCAACTTGTAAAGCATATATTACCCGGTGATTAGCAACACTTATATACATCAAATTTCCAAATCCCAGCACTCTTGGTTTTCCAAAAAAAAGTCTTACTTTATTATATCAAAAGAAATCCAAATCCACATTTAATTTCTCTTACAGAACTTCCCATGTCTAAAGAAAATACATGTGAAAAACATAACATTGCAGATTACTGCAGAAGCAGTGTCTATTCTAAAAGAATGATCTGAAAATGTTGAGGATCATATCCAAGTAGTTTTATGGTGTTGTAAGCTAATTTAAGGTTGAGGTGGCAAAAGACTGTGAACGCCAAATGTGAACTCCACCATGGTATCGATTGAGTACAGATTAACGGTTTGAAATTCTGAAGTGAAATTATTGAAAATGGACAGAGCCCTAGTAAATAAGTGATTGGTATTTAGATACTATGGTCATTAGATGAGCTAATGCAGCATGAGGTTTTGAAATGTTGGAGTTTTGGTAGGTCGTTTGGCAGCCATGGGATGTGCTTGGAAGAATATCTGAAATTGTGATTGAGAGAAGGCTTTGGTTGTTATGTTGTGACGGCCTGCTATGTGTATATGGGCAAGGTACGATTACTGTGTTGATGTCAGCCAAGTCAACTTCCTAAATAACTTCAATATTGTTTGTAGCGGAGATGCAATATTACCCCGGTTATCTCCGCTTATAATCCAAGTGGGACTCAGGAACAAGTAAATAGTAAATCCACAGGCAAGGCTTCCAGCAGGTAAAATACAGCAATATCCCAACAGCAATCCCAATAACTGGACGACACACAGTTTCAGGAGCATAACTGAAAGCCTTTAATCACAGTCTCCTTATAAAGCATGCTCCCATGCAAGGGAGGGATTTACAGTAATTATTACAGTAGCCAATCCTGTCCTGGTAACCTCCCACACATCTCCTCCCCTCAGCCAGCATCATAATCCCCTTATCCAGCACACCAATTCCCCCCGTTTCTGGATGTACCCCTAAACGTAGGGGTACCTCTTTAAATCCTACATCCCCGGATACCCCTGATCTGGGTGACCAACATATCCAAAAATCACCCAGATCAGACCAGGGGTTCGGGAAAAGTATGGAGGGAATAAAATAACCGACCGCACGAACTGAGATAGCCGAATCCGGTTCCATGTGAATGGGTCCTGGCATAAGGGAATAAAATACACGAAAACCTCTAGCTATAGAGGCTAGGGAGGGTTCGCCTGAATCCCCTCGTTCGGTATTTTCTATCTCCCGAACGAGGGGCCGTTCGGTAGTTTGGAACCGAACGGACCAGGGCTGTGGAGGTCTCAGCGGTGTTCGCCTACTCGAGTGTCCGATTTTAGTTCCAGACACTCGACGGCAAAACACCGCTGTTCGGGAGTTTTAAAATGGCCGCCGCCACGTGTTCGTTTGTCGAATGGCGGCCACCCCCGAGAACAAAGGACGGCTACTTACTGTTCAATTACCCGTTCGCAACAATGTTGCAACAGGTAATTGAGGACACACTTCACACAGGGGAGGTCTGGTTGTTCGGTAGTTTCATTCGAATAAACTAAGGGAATGAAACTACTGAACAATCAGAGGAATACAATTCTCTTTAATACATAGAAAACACAGCAGATACACGAATGCAGGTATATACAGTATATTTGTAGGGTCGCCTGGTGCTATCCGCTACATTGTTTTTTTTTCCAATGTATCATTTTTATTCGCTCTTTCTTTTCAGCCATATAAATATACAGCAGATACAATAAAGCACATTCACATTGTTGTTATTTTGTGCACATTGCCCTCTTGAAATGATGATCATTAGACTCTACTCGTGATAGCTCACTGATATATACATGGTTCATAGTAGGATAAATCAAATTACTTATTCAATCAGAGAATATGTACGACATAATTATAGGGTAGAGAATTCATTCAGGGGAGAGGAAAAAACCCTGTCTAGGTGAGATTCCTGACATCTCACCTACTTTCTCACATGTGCTAGTTATGAATGTGTTCCCGTGCAAATGCCAACGTAAACTATGAAACTTAACTCTAGGGGGGTAAGGTAGGGCGGGAGGTTGGGGAGGTGGGGAAGTCTTTAGTGTGTTTTATGGCTTGATGCCATTTTGACAGCGGGCACGTTTTCAACAGACCTCACTCTCAGAGTAGCATGTTTGGCAACTTCCCCAATGGGAGCAAGAAGGGCATTGTAACACATGGACAGAGGTTTACCAGCCAGGTTGGGTCCTTAAGCAATATTTACCAAACAATTTTAGGGATGTCATATCAGGTTTTGATATATTATTAACTAATAGGACATTCTTACTCCTCAGGTAGGTAAAAAATTATTTGTTTGAAAGAGAATACTTTGTCTGTAAACTTGGACAGGATTTGATCCCTGAATCGTCGTATAGCAGGTGACACTTGTCAATTCCGCTATCCCTCCTCAAGGTCAAGTCAAGATCCTGTGTGAGGGTAGCTATAGTGTATATCAGGGCAAGGGACAGTAGTCTTCTACCCCCTAGTAGTTTAGGGGCCCAAATAGACCAACAGTGGAGCATTGTTTTAGATAATGGGAGCACGTGTTTGCCGATTGGTGTGCTCAATGAGGTCTTCCACAGAAGGCCTTCTAGTGAATAGGGTTTGGCGCAAGCTTTTTCTAGGTGCAACTGCCATGCTCTGGGACAGCAGGGAAGCCTGGTAATATTTGGTGATGTTGGGAATGTCTAAGCCTCCTTGTGAGTATTGAAATCCTGTAAGTCTGAATGCAATCCTTGCTATTTTTTTCCATATATGTGAGTTGATCGTGTGTTGAAATTTTTAAAGTAATTTATTCAACAAGGCGATAGGGACAGTGCAGAAAAGGTACAAAATATGAGGCAATACCATAATTTTTATTGTGTGTGCAAGGCCCAGCCACGACATCCACAGGGCCCCCCATCTGTCCAGCTGGGTCTTTAGTATGTGCAATAAAGATATATGTTTTTTTTTTAATCAAGAGGGAACTAGATTTTGTTAACTTTATGCTCAAGTACGTGAGGGAGACATTATGCGAATCAAACGGATAAGTGCTGGATAGCTGGAAGACAGCTGAGTTTAGCAGTCCTAGCGGCAATGCCTGGGTTTTGTGTTGTTTTTATAGTGTGCTGTACCTATTAAGCAATTTATCTAAATGAGGTAGTGATTCAATAGGTTTCGTTAAAAACAAGAGCTATTTTCTGTTCTTTGCTTGGCGTAGGCAACCCACAAATGTCCGCATGTCATTTTATGTGTCTAACCAAGCTCAATATAAAGATCAGTGGGGACAATGGGCAACCATGGTGATTTTTATTTGTAATTTCAAATTTTAGGGATAAAAAAACAGTATTAAAGACCTTCGTTGAGAGTTTCGCAGACATGGCTTTATTCAGGACGCTAGTAACTTGGCATAAAGTTTTATATCCGCATTAAGAAGTGATATGGGCCTCTGTAGGTGATTTCTCGGGTTTGGGAAGTGTAACTATATGTGCTTCCAACATTTCTGGGGAGATCGAGCCTGATGTTTAAAACAGATTGAACAGTTTTGTGAGGTATGGAGTTAAAATTGGTTCCATCCTTATATAGTAATAGTTGGAGAAGCCCTCGGGGCCTGGGGCTTTGTGTTTAGGAAGAGAATGAATAGCTTTCCTTATTTCGTCCTCAGTAAACGGATCCTCTAACTGTTGGGATTGGCTTGCAGATGCCTTGAGGGCTTAGGTGTATTTGAATCGTTAATCGTTAGTTTACATAGCTTTTCATAGTATTGCGCTCGTTCTCCTACATTATCATTAGGGTTGAATACTTTATGATTGTCCATTCATACAATGTAGGGGATTTTCGTTTGAAGGTCATTTGACTTTAGTGTTTTAGCCAACAGTTTCCCTGCTTTATTGCCGTGGATATAATATTTAGTTTTTAGCGCTCTCATTTGTTTCTCTGTATCCGCTAGGGCCAGGTGATCTAGTTCTTTCCTTATTTTAGCTATTTGACTGCCAAGTGATTTAAGGGGCTTAAGTTTATTTTGAGCTTCTATTTGAGCTAAGTCCCAAAGGAGTCGCAATCACACACTTTCTTTTTATGGCTGGCCCGTAGATTCATGAAAGTACCCCTGATGACCGCTTTCTGCGCCAACCATAAGGAGGGGGCAGCAATATTATCCCTGTAATCCTCAATCAATACCTT